TTTATGTTTAAATTGTTAAATCATATGTTATTTATGTTTTTGTTAAATGACTGTTTGTACACAATTCCTAACATGTTCAAAGTAGTGTCAATCTTTAGTAAATTAAAGCCTTGTTCTATTAAGGTAATTACTTTCATTTCTATTACACCACCAAACTTCTGGAGGAAATTAACAAAGTCCACTTCAACATGTAAAGCACACATAATTTGAATTTATTTATGCTTGACCACTGTGTGATTTATTTTACAGAGTTTTCTACATTAGTGGTCCGCTATGAATGTGGAAGAATTGGCAGGGTTTGTCGAAAGACAGCGCAAGTAAAATTGTTTTCCACCCAAAAAGTTTATCTTTGTCTCCCTCCTCCGCGATATCTATTAGAAGGCCATCTGTTATGTTTAATGTTAAAACAGGGTACAATGAAATCTCATCAATATTGACCAATGAAGCTTTAGACAACTCTCTTGCTTATTTACTATTTGGTTTTATAGATGAAACTGAAGTTTCCGTTAAGGAAATAGGCAGTTTAAAAAGGTTGTGAATAGTTCTTCCACCTTCAAAACCATATCGACAAAACCATATCGGTAGCTAATTTTTGGAAAAGGGAAGTCTGATTTCCAGACACGGAAAGTAAATAAGTATCCACTATGGAGCCAACATCATCCACTTCATCTGGATCATCTGGGTTTCCTTATCTTCCTCTAACATCTTTCGTACTCGTTCATCAAAATCTGGATCATCCACTGTCCATGATGTGCTACAAGATTTACTTGTACAGTAGACTCCCTCTTATCCAGACTCCCCGGGACCGAGGCCAGTCCGGATAACTGGTTTTCCGGTTAAACCGACATCCCAAAAAACTTGTTATGTAACCCAAATATTTGACTTAAATTTAGGAGAGCATTGTATTTAGACACGTGATCACTGGTCTCAAATCTTTCCCACGAGAAAAGTCGTTTCAGTACCGCCCACTTCCTGCCGATCTAGTCCAGTTAAACCGATGTGCTGATAAAAATTGTCTGGTTAAAGAGATGTCATTCCCGCCGAGTGTTGTCCGCTTAAACCAATGCCAGGTTAAAAGATGCCCGGATAAGAGGGAGTCTACTGTAGTAGGTCCATTGGGTTGGACAATTTTCAAGCAAACACAGGGTGAACAACCAACATAAAAGTTATTTTATAATGATTTTTGTGTGATAAAAAATCAATAGCTCCGGTGTTGTTTATAGGCTTTAATTTGAGCTATTGATTGTTTGAATCGGTTAAGTTCAAGATACTGTATTACTCAATCAATAATCATAAATTTGATTATATCTCGGATATGATATTTATTTTAACGCTGCGGAGCAGCATGGGTCATCTAGTTATATTTATTAAATAAAAAACATAAACATTACTGTAAACAGTCCTACTTTGTCAGGTCTCTTTGTGTATCACAGCTTTTTGTTGCCGCTTAGTTTAAATTAGCTGTTGTCATAAATGCAAACAAATTAATATATAGCTGCACCCTGTTGGTAAAGCTTTTAACTTTGTAATGCTACTAAATATCATAGAGCCAAATGGTTTGGTTGAGACAACTGGAAAAATCCTTTAATTCCTTTTAAATATGAATAGTTGTAAGAATAACATGGAAACTTTGAACCCTTGTGGGGCATCGCCCTATAGAATCTATATATTAATTTGAAACTGTTTTTCTTTGTGACAGCTATTTTGAGAGAACGGCTGGGCGTAGAAACTCAGTAGAGGTGTCTAAAGAAAGGTCCTGGTCTGTAGATGAGCCATCAAAAGAGAAACATGGAGAATTCCCTCGGGGCTCTGCCCCAGTGGCCTTTAAATTCCCACTTATAGTTATTCTTATGGAGGAAAACGAGGTTTTTGTCACAGCTAATTTGAGAGAACGGCTGGGCGTAGAAACTTGGTAGGGGTGTCTAAAGAAAGGTATTGGTCTGTAGGTGAGCCCTCAAAAGAGAAACAATGTAAATTTCCTTGGGGCTCTGCCCCAGAGGCCTTTAAAGTTCACTCTGCAATTTTGTTTACATTTCGACCATATGGATAATTTTACACTACTTTTAATGAGCCAGCTGTTAATATTAAAATTGTATTCAAAGGTTTACTGAAACTGTCAAAATTAAATGTTTACATTATTATTTATGATTTTAAATGGATTCTCCACTGCATGGCAAGTTTTTTATAGTTTCAACAAAATGATGAATTTATGATACGTTTGAAATGTTTTGTTCAAAAATCTATGCTTTATCTTTATTGCTCTTAGAAAATTTTAAATTATGAAATAAGTGTGACTTATCAATTTCAAAGGAACATATAACTATTCCTTATCGGGTTAGCTTATACATATTGTAAGGTTGGCACTTGCCTTTTTTCCTACTTTCAATCACCATTTATTTTTAAATTCAAGAAAGAACACCTGAGATTCATTTATTGGTATAACAGTTTTTGATAATCGGGTTGAAAATTGTGTCATAGATGAGTACGTTGAGGATGGGAGCTGTGTTCAAGTTTTGGAATAGACTAACTACGGAGTCTATGGTTTTGGTAAAGTAGGTGAACTAATGTCAATTCAGGTATTAAAAAAAAAAATGTGTACACAGTTTTTGCTTTGATGTACACATGTAGCTAGGTTACAATCTGAATGATTTTCCTAAAGCAGATGGAATTAGTGGTTAGTAATAAATATTGACTCTTTCCGTAACATGATAGACTAATTATATGAACTCATTCTCCCATATAGTGAAAGTGGCTTTGGTATGAAACAAACTCATGAACAAACAATTATAAGACTCCTAAAAAACCTTTTGGGCAACCTAAAGCCGATAAAAAGAAAGGTAGGAAATATTGTGTTAAACGAATTCATTAATCACGTTTTTTAGGGAACACAATCGTCATAGGCCTACTTATTATTGCTTATCCTCCCTTCATATAACTAAGATTTTAATGACTTCACTCTATCCAACGCAGTTAGCTGAATTTACATAAAACCTCAAGATTTACCGTCGATTTCGACGGGGTTCCACTAGTGTTCACAACTTTAATATGCCTATGTGTTTCTCAAGACTGTCAAGTACCTCTCTGCAAAATGTCAGCTCAATCAGTTCAGTGGTTTTCACGTAATGGAACTTCAGAGTTATATTTCAACATCTCATACTTTTACATTTATAATATTAAGTAGGATAGATAGGGTGTATACCCTTGACTCTAATAAACTATTGTATGACTATACTGTATTGTCACATTCCTAATAGAATAAGTGGTACAGTTTAGTTTTGTTTCTACATTAAATGGAGTGTTTGTATGTGTTCAATTTTAAAACTGTATTTAAGGAACCACATTATTCTCTTTTACTCCCCGAACCTTTTACGAAGCACAGGTAATTTAATTCATTTTTTTCATGATGGATAGCCTCTGGATTAAAATTAGCAGAATATGGTTTATTTTACCTTGCCTAAAATGATCCTGTTTAGTCATTTTTTTTTTCATAATAATCTCTAGAGATAGTATAACAATGAACATAAAATCTCAATCTGCTAGAGAAGTTTTAGTATTAAACTGCATATAGGAAAGCAAACTGCATAATGTGAGTGGAATGTGAAATTGCCATCGTCAGGTGAAATTACTCCCATGGAGTACATTTTGCCGTTGACCTGATTTTGGATGAATCATTTCATTAAGTTCTATTTGAGAACTTCATCTCCACTGCTGGTTTTACGACCGATTTATGTCATTGTCCTACATGAAGTCAGGCCCGTTCACTTTATGTTTCACTTATATAAATTAGTTAATCATTTTGAATTTCCAGTGTAACGTGTGTTTAATAGCTTTATTTTTTTTCACCACACTATGATGTTTTTGGGTGTATTACATACGTTAATTGGTGGCTGAAAGTTACGTTTTGCTGGCCATGCCAGCTGTCATCGTTATTTGGGGACCGAGCAGGTTTTTACAGGCCGGGGCCGCAAAATCAGCTGTCCGCTTACTTACTTAGAACATGAATGCATTTTAAATACACAATCAAAATCCATAGCATTGCAATAGAATTGTCTTATTGTCACCGTTGCCTAGCAACTATTTATTTTATTTTTGCTGATTCCTCAAAATATTTCTTCACATAACCTTAAAGTTGTAGTTGTGTTGACTATCAGTGTGCATTATTATAGTGGTGAATAGTGGTAATAGGGTATAGTGTGGTGAAAAATAGCGTTCGTACCATGGACCAAAATGGTTTTGCAGCTCTCGATCGATTTAAGTTCTCGACTTCGTCTCGAACTTAAAAACTATCTCAAGCCGGCAAAACCTCATTTTCGGCCCTAGGTACGAAATATACTATTACAAAACTCAATTAGACTCATGGTACTTATATTTTAGAAAGTGTTTCAATACTGTTTTTAGTGATTGATGGGACTTACATTGATTGATTGCTTATTTGATAAAAGTCATACTGTAGCATGTACTTTCTAACTGTAACATCTTAACTATAAAATTCTTTAAACAAATCTTTAAACTTGTTGGGTTTTGGGTCTGATTTTAATAATTTTTTCATCTTATGTGTCACAAATAAAGTTGAATTTTACTTTAACCTTGTCTGTATTTAGAAATCGTCTTGTATATTTGATAAACTTGTCAAACATTTTCTAGACTTTTTGTTCCATTGTAAAGTCTGAAACCAGTTTTGATGTGTTTTATGTTCAATCAATGTTTGAGTGTGCTCATGTTAGTAACATGTTTTTAAAATTTTTTCTAGGGGTTTTTTACACTGAATTCCTCAGTCTTTTTTACAATACCATATATATTTATAAATAGATCATTTTATTTGCTTAAGTTAGTGAAAACCAGAATTAATAAATAGTAAACGGATTACCATTCTACATTCATTGAATAGAAATATACTCCAAATTGTATTTAGTTGACCCAAAAGGATAACTTATCTATGAGAGAGTCGGTAAAATATATGCCAAAAATATTTTATTTAATTTTCTGATTTTTTTTTTCAGAAAAAATCGCGGGAGGAAAGCAAAGGGGCTGGCAGCGGAGTAGAAATCTTGGTGAATGAGCCATACAACGACGGCCCTGGCGGAGAGGGGCAGTACACTCGTAAGATCTACCATGTAGGAAGTCATCTACCAGGTTAGTTGTCTGCACTGCAGCAATGTTGAGCCACCCATGTAGCAACTCTGTATCTATACAGATATTGATTCATCTTTGAAAGCTAAGTACCTGGCATAATGTGGGCAGGATGGATGCCTTGTTTCAGAAATGCTGGGTTATCAGGAAAAAGGGCCAAACATAAAACCGAGACATAGATATTTTCCTTTATTCTCATATATAAATATTACTCTTACAACACGATAACATTTAAATAAATAAATTTAACTTGTTAAAGAAAATTTGTCACTTACCTTAAAATTATATACAGTATATATGTCAGTTTTTGGTCAGGCCATCATGACTCACGTCATGCAATGTCACTTAAATGTTTGCTATTGTCCCTCTCATTGTTCTGAGGTAAGTGAAGCCTTTTATAACTGGAAACAACGAGGCAAGTCAGTGGTTGAGGAAAAAGGAATTTCTAAATAAAATAAAAACACTCATTTATCAGTTTACATACAAATAATGCCAATATCACAATACCTAGTAGTAATGTGTATATATATATATATATATACTAGCAGAGTACCCGTACTTCGTACGGGGTTGTCATATAAGTATAAAGTGCTATAATTTACATGGTATGCTATAATATAGAACACTAGGTAAAACCCGTCGAAATCGACGGTTACTTTCAAGGCTTACGCTAATTCATCTAACTGCGATAAATTGAGTTAAATTATACATATTTTGAGCATTTAGCATTGTTTAAAGATTAATAAGCGTAAAAACAATAATGATGTTAATTGGGTTAGTTAATAAAACCAAATATGGTTGATCATTCAATGAATAAAATATTTCCCATACGTATTTCCAATATGAACGTCATCGGAGATAGTATATATCTGATATCTCTTCCTTTGGAAGAACCTTTAAATAGTATTAAAATCGTATTGGTGGATCTTTTGAAGTTAAACACTTTAGTGATTTCACCAGTGTAATGCAGATTAATCTATGATTTTAATTGAAAAAAATAATATATGTTTGTTAGGAAGACACGTTCTAACTTCAAAGGGAGGTATATACGTTACAGTGTAAGTTTGATTTTTCCTTCGTCACGTCGCGTCAGTTCATATCGTACTTCTGTGCAATGAATATTTGCCAATGAATATGAATGCTCTAGCACAGTTTTGAGAAATTGGTTGTGGGGTTACTGGTAAAGCTGGAATTCCTAGACATGGGGGATGTCAGTTAGTTGTCTCAGCCTTATCAATTACATAAAGTTGTCAATATAATCTCTCTACGGAATGTTAGGTGTGGTGGAATGTACTTGAAGTAAAGTTGGCTTTTATTCTTGAACTGTTAGGGGCCTTTTGGTTCATATGGTCGTGCAGCTTCATTGGCAACAAATAATGCAAATTACATAGCAATGGGACATTTCCAAAAAGCAAAAATACTGTAAATTGGCTGTTATGTATACATTGACGTTTACATATTGTTAATCAACGTATCTTATAAAGGATGATGTGATCTAGTTTAAAAGGAATATGACCTTTCTGTCATGACAGTAGCTGCTTAAATAGTATTTACTCATTGGGCCATTTTTACAGCCAAAATGTAGTGTTATTTTCAATAATGACCAACCCAGTGGACCACGGTCCGTAATATAGGCCACTGTAAATAATTTGTCAAGATAGGTACTATTTTAGGCAAGGTATCTGTGTTTGGATGTTATTAGGCACGGTAAGAGCACAATAAAATTATTCTGCAGATGAATTTTCTGTTGGAGAGATATAAGCCGAATTATAAATGTCACAATGCGAGTTTGAGCATTTTGTATCTACAGACTGTCCCAAAAGTCCCGGACCGGTTTAATATTTCCTAAACGACAACAGATAAATCAATAAAATTTTGCACATTAACACCACACTAAAAAATCTACTTTTTTAAGGAACTATCAGTTTTCTGTCATATCATGGGGACGTCCCACAAGGAGTCAGAAGGAAATCTTAAATAGGAGCATAGGTCAATATGCACATCAGTTTAAAGGGCTTAGCTAGCAGAGTTCAATGCCGGAAACCGCGCCTCGAAAGGATCACCCGTTACAAAATGGCGGCCGTTCAAAGATTTCTTGAACCTGCCATTTTGAATCTTTGAACGACTGCCATTTTTTACTCAGGCGTTCTTTTGAGCTTGAATTTACGGCATTGTAATCTACTAGTGAAGACCTTTAATTTGATGTGCATATCGACATATGCTTACGCTAACAAAAATGTTCTGACTCCTAGGGCTCTGCCCCCAAATGCAAATTAAATGAATCTTTGAACCACTGTTACTCTTGACTTGGTTGTCCGTTTGAGTTTAAATTTGCAGCATTATATTCTGCTAGTAAAGACCTTTAATCTGATGTACATGTCAACCTATGCTTCTATTTAAGATTTCCTTCTGACTCCTTGCGGGACGTCCCCATGATGTGACAGAAAATTTATATTTCCATAAAAAAGTAGATTTTTAGGTGTGATGTTGATGTACCAAATCTTGTTGATTTATCTGTTGTCGTTTAGAAAATATTAAACCGGTCCGGGACTTTTGGGACAGTCTGTATATGGGTAAGTTAAATACATTTTTTTAGACTGCTGCTCAGGGTACTTTAAAAATATATATTTTAGAGACAAATTAAATGGTTTTTGTTGCTGAGTAGCGCTAGTAAACATGCACAACCCTTTTCGTTAGTCTAATAACATTCAAAGGCTCTCTAAGAGTTCAAGTTCTTATTTGTATACATTTCTATATTATGTTTTCACTAAGCTGAATGAATACATCAAAGTAACCTCTCTGAAAAGTGAGCAGTATATTGCAGTATTCCAGCTTAATGACTTTCTAAATCCTACACATATTTCTACATAAATATTGTAAAATGTTTTATCCAGTTGCTGTAAACTACTATTAATTTAACAAAATATGGACACGGCTCAAATTGGCACCGTGCCCTTCTGCACTGGTATTATTTTGTATTGTATTACACAATCGAAGATTTTTCCATTGATTAAAAACATGTATGACAATAATCTCATGAACCTACAATGATCTGTCTCGAGTAATATGATAGAACTAGGGGAAACCCGTCGAAATTGACGGTTACTTTCAAGGCTTACGTTAATTCATCTAACTGCGATGAATTGGGTGAAATATACATATTTTGAGCATTTAACATTGTTCAAAGAGTAAGTGTAAAAACAATAACAATATTGCGTTAGTTGCCAAATTTGGTTGTTCATTCAATGATTAAAATATTTTCTATCCTGTACGTCATCGGAGTTATTATTAGTATGTTATATGGTATCTCTTCCTTTGGTAGAACCTTTAAATAGTATTTAAATCGTATTGGTGGATCTTTTGTAGCTAAACACTTCCGTGATTTCATCAGTGTTTGAGAAAAAATATAGGTATGTTTGTTGGGAAGACACGTTCTAACTTCAAAGGGAGGTATATCCGTTACAGTGTAAGTTTGATTTTCCTTCGTCACGTCGCGTCAGTTCATATCGTACTTCTGTGCCAATGAATGAACCCTCTAGCATAGTTTTGAGAAATTGACTGTGGGGTTACTGATAAAGCTGGAATTCCTTGACATGGGGGATGTCAGTTAGTTGTCTCGGGCCCTCGGCCTTATCAATAACATAAAGTTTTCAATATAATCTCTCTACGGAATGTTAGGTGTAGTGGAATACATGAAGTAAAGTTGGCTTTTATTCTTGAACTGTTAGGGGCCTCCTAGTTCATATGATCTTGGCGGCTTCATTGGCAATAAATAATGCAAATGACATAGCAATTGAACATTTCCAAAAAGCAAAAATACTGTAAAATGGCTGTTACGTATATATTGACGTTTACATATTGTTAATCAACGTATATGATAAATACTTTAATCCCTTAATACGTTTTTTTTATGGCGACCATTCATAGTAGGTAAGCCAAGTATGAATGGAGATGAGTGTAGAAAGAGTGGCGCGATCTTGAAGTCTTGTTAGTTACTAAGGCCGACATTCCTTAGATACAGCTGTTAATTAATAGCCCATACAGCGAATGGCAACCAAGGGATCTACAGTTTATAGTTGAATTGGAACCAAATTTTTTTTTGCATTGGTATTTATGAATTGGTATAATTATGAGGATAGCACTGCGGGTAGTCGTAGTACTCACTCGTGCGGCCGTTAATCCACACCAGGGAGTATCGCATCCACAGTGCATTCCTATAAATATCCACAATTCGTGACCTCCTAGTAACTGGATTACAGGACGACGCCACCCGTCCCAGTCAAAGGATTATGTGATCTAGTTTAAAAGGAATATGACCTTTCTGTCATAGCTGCTTTAATAGTATTTTCTCTTTGTACCATATTTTACAGCCAAAATGTCGTGTTATTTTCAATAATGTTACTAATTCAGTGCGCCAAAGTCCGTAATATAGGCAGGTGCAAATTATTTGTCAAGATAGGTACCATTTTAGGCAATGTTTCTAAGTTTGGATTTTATTAGACACAATAAGAGCAGATATTTCTACATAAATATTTGATATTTTGTAGAATAATATGATAAAATGTAGGCAAAAGTGGCGAAAAAGGCACACACCAACCCGTACAATAGATATAAGATAGTTCAATAAGAAATAATTTAAGAATTGCTGTGATAAAAATATTTTCCACTGATTTCGTAATGGAACGTTATATTGCAAAACATGGCATGATAAAGAAGAAAATCAATTTTAAAATCAGAAAATAACATTGCAAATACTTATTTGTTAGAATTCAACTCCCAATAAATATGTGTTGTTTGAAATACAATTTAAAAATGAACAGCTGTTTCATTAAAAAGTATTATTCTCATGGCCAAAATGTAAACAACTCTGTGGAGGGATCTTTAAAGGCTTCTGGGGCAGAGTCCTAAGGGATTTTGCTCAGTTTTTCTTTTCATAACTCATCTACAGACCAAGACCTTTCTTTGGACACCTCTACCAAGTTTCTACGCCCAACCGTTCTCTC